CTGGCTGATGCAAAACATGTTTGCTACTCCGGAGATGGATGACTGTCTCACTATCTATTGGTGTGTTAGGACCCTTCAGGATTAAAGGCATTGAGAAATGTAACCACCGTGTGTGTGTGTGTGTTCAAGTCAGGCCTTATTTATGTGGCCTCATGTTTCTAACATCTTTCTCCCTGCCTAAGATGGGGCAGAGCACAATATTTGAACTCTGCAACACAATGGGCATGTTCCCAGGAGTGTTGCCCATACAAGCGCCTTTAAAGCTGTAAAGGGGCAGTTAACGTCATTCAGCTCCACAGTAATTTGTAGATATTGCACAACAGCAGAACATCCTGGGGTTGGGATGTGGTTCCGCTTTGAGATTTTTTTCTATTGTTAGAATGTGAAACCGAGTAAATCCACGTCCGCTGAAGCTGGGGAGGGGTACAGTTTATACCAGTGGTCTCCAACCTTTTTATACCCAAGATCACTTTTTAAGTCTCAGAACAGGTGAAGATCTACTGCCCCGCCCCTTCCTTGAAGCCCCGCCTACATTACATGAGGAAATCTAATGTAAATGTACTGCGCAGGTGTGCAGTTCAGAGGGCTCAAGAGCTACTCTTAGAGCCCCTGAGATCTACCGGTAGATCACGATCTACTGGTTGGTGACCACGGGTCTATACAAACCCCTGGAGGAAAGAAATTGTAGAGCTTGGATTTTGTTACATTTCCACCACCTTTTCTATAGTTTCGGACTTCATTGTTCATGCCCTTGTGAAATGTGACCCTTCAGAAGCCTGTCTCAAACTGAAGCCCGGAATGGTTCACTCCTTAATCTGAACGTTGGAACAAGATAGTGTTCCTTAAGACGGCTTGTAACACTGGTTGATCCTCCTTGTCAAAATGAACAATGGGATCCTCTCCGGTACGAAGGGAAGGTGCAGTTGTAATAGAGGGGAATCAAACTTCAATGCTGTTTGGGTTCAAGCCCTTTCTTGCAGCTCTAACTAAGGAAAGCGGCAGCAGCGTGTTGTTGCAAGCCCACATGCTGGAAACGTTTGATTGTGGAAAAAACATATGAAGGGCAATGACCATACAGCAGAGAGTTCTGCTATAAAAGAGAAGACTCGTCTAGGCAGTCAAGGAATGTGCTCATCTGGAAATAGTATTTTCTGTACTTGAGCCCTGATGAAATCTGGTGGGCTCCCTTCTGTCAGGAATGAAGTTGGGGAAGGATGAATCTTCAGAAGAGAGATGATTATTGCTCCAATACTCTGCTTGGTTTGGTGGAGGTATTCTTGGCACAGTGCTCCCCTCCCCATCTTCTGATTGTGCCTGCATTTGGTTTCTCTAGGTCTTTGGAAGTAAAGTCAAATGTTACACAACTTAATATTTTTTTCTTATTCCTGTCCAAATACTGCTTCCCCTGGAATATTGAGAACAAAATTGTTGTTTGCCGTAAATAGGCATTGGAGGTAGCTCGAATCGAGATTTCCTAATGTCTGATTACTCACAACTCTTGTAGCATTAAACTCTGAGAAACAGTTGGAAATTTACTTGGTGAAACAATTAATCAGGCAGAGCAATTTAAATCACAACACGTGTGAAACCTAAGTTGCTTAAGCAGTACATCTTGTTTTGATGAAACTTTAACCAGTGCTTCAAAGACTGCTGGTAGAAAATTGCCTTGCAGCCAAAGGCTGTGCTGGAAGAAATTCCAGCTGCCACTTAAAAAGCACTTCATTTGATGGCTGAGAAACTAAAATGCTGATCAAGTGCAGACTCAGCAGCTATAAGGCAGACTCTGTCCATCCAAAATTGTAAAATAGGAACATCAAAGGCAACCTGTCAGCCACAAAGTATGCTTTGGAGCTGTAGAAAACAGACTTTAAATATATATATTTAAAAAATGGTTATAGGATTTCCTATTGTGACCTATTTAAAAAAAAAAAAAAAACCTAGCCTTAATTGTAATTTGAGCTCTCTGATCTCCAAGTACCTGCAGCTTGCTTTCACTTCCCATCCTGTGTGGACATGTGGAACCTAGGCCAGGTCTATGCTGAGGAGAAAAAATTGACTTAGTCTTGTAGCTGGAGTTCTGTCTGTCATAGCTGGAGTCAACGTACTTAATCAAATTTCTGTGGCATCCCCCTTGCGGGAAGTTGACATGAGTTTCTCCTGTCAACTTCCTGTTATTCCTTGCAAACTCATTGAATACCTGGGTCAATGGGAGCACTGTCAGGGATTAATTTAGTGGGTCCTTACTAGACTCGCTAAATCAAACCTTGGAAAAATCACTCTGGAGCATCGATCTCTGGGTAAGTGTAGATCTGCCCTGATTCTCTTGCATGGTGTAAATGAAGAGTAAAACGACAAGTCCATGGAATGTCACCTGTTTTGAAACCACTATGTGAACAGAGAACTATGCTTTTAAACTTTCAACGTCTGCATAAAATTACACTAGTTAAGAACTGCTGAATTTTTTGTTTTGTTTTGTTCAGTGTTAAAGCAGGTCATGTAAATGTAAAATCAAAACTGGTCAGCTTTATAGATTGGGAGAAATAATGAAGAGGACAAGTCACTGATATAGGCAGGACCAGATTAACTTTCGGGCCTGGGGCTATTGGATTGTTTTGGGGCCCACTAGCTCTAAACTGAGGGGTTCAGAGCAGGAGGGTGCTCTGGTTTGAGGCACAAAAATGGGTGCAGGAGGGAGTGATAGCTCCAGCTGGGGGCGGGGGTTCTGCGGTGGGGTGGAAATGTTTGAGGTGCAGGAGGGGGCTGCAGGCTGGCATCAAGTGATTGGGAGTGAGGGAGGGGGCTGGGGTTGAAGAGTGACGTTCTGGGCAGTAGGGTTGCTAGAGTAGGGTTCAGGGTTGGGAGTGTGAGGTCCAGGAGGTAGATATGATGCAGGATTGGCCAGGGGGCTTGTGTATGGGGAGCTTCCCAGGGGGCAGCTCCTCTTGGGGGGGGGGGGGGAGAGGAGGGAAGCAGATGGCTTAGAGTGGGCTGTGCTGCCCTGTAGGACAGAACCTTCCCCGGTGCACAAGGCAACACTGCTCCAGCCCAGGCAGTGTGCAGAACCATGTCGCTGCACACATACACGCACACCAGTTAGAGCCAGAACACAGGGATTTAGTGCCTGCTGCCCAGGCGAAGGGAGCCTCTTAAAAAGGTCTGGACTTCTGGCAGCCCAGAGATCATTTTGTGGGGGCTCCCCCCTACTTAGTCCAGGGCCCTGGGCTGTAGCCCCAAAAATCCTTTTTTTTTTTTTTTTTTTTTTTTTAAATTGAGCTCTGGATAGAGCCATTCAAATTGGTACATTGGAAACAAGCATAATCTGTTTCACGAAGGCCAAGTGTTACATTAACCCCTTAAGAGCAAAGATTGTAGGCTGTATTGAACTTTAAAGGAGAAGATCAAGAATCGACTTGAGTCTATAGGTACCTACATGAGGAACAGAAACTTTGATAAGAAGGCTCTTCAGTCTAGCTGACATATAACCCCTCCCCCTGGCTAGAAATTGGAGGAGGACTAATTGAGACTAGAAACAAGGTGCAAATCACTAACTGTGATGGTGACTATTATTTGAGCAGCAGATCAAGGGCCGTGGCAGATTCTCCCTCATGGGAAAGCTTTAAATAGAGATTGCATGTCTTTTTCTAGAAGACCTGCTGGAGTTCAAGCAGGAATTCATTCAGACAAGTCCTATGGCCCTGTTACGTGGCGATCAGATTAGATCATTGCAATGATACCTTGCAGCCTGTGTAACTGTTACATTAATCAACTCATTCTCATCAGCCAGTTACAGGATCAGATCTTTAGTCAGTGGAAAATTCATGTCACTCCATTGACTTCAGAGGAGCTGTGCCCACTTACCCCAGCTGAAGCACTGGCCCTTGTTTCTGATTGTGGGGTATCAAGTCTGTAATGCTTTCCATGGGTCAGCTTCTCAACACTGTCCGACAGGGATGTAAAATCCTGTTAATAGGTGAACTGGTTAAACATAACATTTAAACAGGCTGGAGCACCTCCCCTTTCTCTCTGTCTGTGTGTCTCTCACCTGGGCTTGGCCTGCCATGGATGAGGGTGCTTCAGCTGGGCTGGCAGTGGGCAGGGGCTGCTCTAGATGCCACTGCTTAACTGTAACTGGTAAGCCTCCTCCATTAAAGGAGAGGCTTATTGGTTAACCATTAAGATCCCTACTGCATGCTTAAGATCCTTGAGACTGGTTTCTAATTTCACTTCTGATATGTCTACACTACAGAGAGATCCCTGAAATTCTGCCACATCCAGGGAACGTGTCTGCTCTTCTGAAGCTTTTTTCAGAAGAGCAGATGTGCTTTTTTGGCACCCCTGTAAACCTCATTTTACAGGGAAGGGATGTTCCGGGAAAGGGTTTTTTTCCGACATTTGGCCCATGTAGAAATGTACTGCAGTAAAAATGGACCTCTGCTCAGTTCTTCCACCTACTATGAGGATAAGGGGACAGTTTAAGCCCAAATGATGCAGAGCAAGCAATATATATATTGAACGCTTTTTTTATAAAAATTCCTACATGTTCTGCTGTTAAGTCACTGATAGATTTTAATCCTGCTTCAGGACATAAGCCGCTTATCTGACTAAGTCTGAGACCAGAAAGCATTCCTCTTGGTATATTATTGAATAATTAGCAGCATTCCTGTCTAAATATTGCTTCCCCTGGAATATTGAGATGCCCTCTGTGTGGGAGACAAGACTAACTCTTTCAGGCTATGTGGATTACTGTATTAGTCCACCATTGCGGTTATTTGTCTGATACTAGAATTTAAGATCCAAAATGCCATAAATCAAGAATTCCTTGTTTAAAAAAGCCACTAAAATATGCACAATTTCTAATCATGAGTGTGCCTCACGCTTTTTTCTGTGGGTTTGATTGCCACGTGAATTGCAGAAAGTATTCTTGTCCGGTAGAAGATACGAACTAGCTGGGCAGTCTTCCTCTCTGCTATCCCCACACAGTCCTCTATTCTCTATTCTAGTGCTGCGAGATCTGCAAAGAGGTGGTGCCTGCGGACTACCCTGTGGTGTATGTGGACCGAGCAGGCTACAATCGCCTGTGGCACCCAGCCTGTTTTGTGTGCTACAAGTGCTCTGAACCTCTGGTTGACCTGATCTACTTCTGGAAGAACGGCGCAGTTTGGTGTGGACGCCATTATTGCGAGAGCATAAGGCCGCGCTGTGCAGCTTGTGATGAGGTAGGGCCGGTTCCCTACTATGATTCTGCTAGTCTCCCATGCAGACAAGCTGTGTGGGATCCTATGCAAAGAGATAGGGAGGGCCTGTTCCACTTCTATGTTCCTCCATCTCTATATACTCAGGAAATTCTCTTCTAGCTGCATCCTGCTTATTGGTGGGATTCTTTCTCCCGGCACATGGATGCTTTTTGTGTGTGGAGGGGGGGAGGGGAAGGGGTGTGTGTTCATGCATACATGCACTTCTGAGGCTGTGTGGATCTGATCTTCCTAGGTGACTTTTGAGGCTCAAATACATGTGGAAGGTAGAGAATTTGTTCTCTGATGCTTCCTACTAGCTCTAGAAACGTCAAGGACAATAAACGTGGCTCGTGAGTTGGGGATGTGCAGTACAGGGCTACTAGAAGAATGAAGTCTCCATGCAGATGATAGTAAGGATTATGAACTGGAATCTTAATGAGATTCATATGCTGTTGCTTTTGTTGAAACTGGCAGTTGTGGTTTAAATACCTTAATTTTTCAGAGCTTCTCATAGGCCAGCAACTGAATCAGGATTAGATTTAAGATGAGGTTCGTGGCATAGGGCTGGGTTTCAGGTATGGAATTGACAGTGGAGAAAATGTTGTTCTGGCTGTATTGTATTTCTTGCCAACAAAGGCACAATCTTGCAACTTTCCACTATTTCCTGCCAAAATCTCCTCAGAAGGGCAACCAATCTTGTGAGACTTTGCTCATTTTAAAACCAGAAAAGAGGCTATATTTCTCCTTTGGTTTTGGGATCTGGACTAGAACCAAAGTCGCTGGATAGACCCAGACTCTGATCCAGAGATTGAGTCTCAAATTTGAAGTGGTTCAAGTCTAAGATCCTAATTTAGGGCAATTTAACCATTAAGAAGCTTGGTCATAGAATATCTACTGGCTATTGTGGCTATTGAACGTGGTCTTTGTTAAAATGTCCTGGATAATGGTCTCATTGAAATGTAGTTGAGAACAATTTCATATTTTACCTTCATAGGACTTTCTTATCAACATATACAAATGGTGCAAAACTTTGAGAGATTTTTCTGATCCAAATTGTGCGTGTTTGTTTAAAAACAACTTAAGATGTTGAAGCTAACAGTATTTGCATTATAGAATTACAGTATTTCAGAGAAA